ACTGGCTCGTATACACGTTACACATGGGGAAAACCATGAAAACACCCATGCAGCCAGCCCGTTCGCGAGATCCGAACCTCGGACCGAACTACCAGTGTTCAGCGACGTTACCGTTCGGCCGCTGGTGGGCAGTTATTCGAAAGGACATTACTACGTTGGCAGAACGAGTTGCCATTAAACGACCTGATTTTCTGAAAGAAGTCAGAAATTTTTATAATAACTGCTTGGAATATTTTGAAGAACGGACAGTTCAATTCGAGGATATTAAATATTTTCATTGAATGACATTAAAAAAGGGAGATTTTATGGGAACATGTAGAAACATCTTTTTAATATATTAGTAACCATTTTCCGAAAAATAATATTTGCGAAAATGATGTTTTTGATGAGGTGCCATTGGTAAAAAGATACGTTACTGACAAAAAAATTAAATGTTGGTTGTCTGCAAATGTGGAAATAGACAAAAAATGGACGGAGTTATTCCTTCATTTTAAACAGAATACTATTCCTTATGAAAATATTTTGAAAATTGTAGAACATACGCTTTCCCTTCCAGGAACAAATGCAGCAATAGAACGTGTTTCTTCTAGTATCAATAAAATATGGACAACTGAACAAAACGCAGTTGAACATTAAAACTTTAAAATATGTATTAAGCGCAAAATATAATTTGACCAATTCATGTGAGAAATTTCACAATATTTTAATAAATGATCCGAATGTATTGCAAAGTATTCACTCGGATAAAAAATATGACCGTGAAAGACAACCATAAATTTTCTCAATAAAACTTTTAATTAATTAAAAAACATAATATTCAAATTATAGTTTTTTACAAATATTTTTACAGCTACCAATAGTTAATAATAAATATATTTTGTATATTTATATATAAGTAAATAAATGTATACAATAAATTTTTTTTTAAAATTATTGGTCTGCTTTCATAACTAAATTGTAATTCTCATTTCAGTCCATTTGTCTCGATGAAAATGTGGTCACATTACAATAACTGCATTAGTTGAACCCAGCATTTTAAATGCAAATGATAACATGTTAAACAACTGGGAAAAATTAACGAAAGGAATTCAGTCCATCTGGAAATGTTAGTCAAACAATTATTTAAGTACACTTCAACAAAGAAATTAATGGTATTATACAAAACAAAATTGTAAAAGTTGGTACTATGGTCATTCTACGAGAAGATAATACACCTGTTTATAATTGGCCATTAGGCAGAATTATAGAAATGCTAGCAAGTAAACATAATAAAGAGTCGTAAAAGTAAAAACAAAAAATGGAACTTTTACAAGGAAAATTTCTAAAATTTGCATTCTGCCTTTACCTAAATGAGTAAAATTAAAGTACCGTAATGTCCGGGAGAAACGCCGCAGCATTTACATGTTTTAAACCAAAAATTTCAGCGGGTGCGGCGTTTCTACCCATGCGGCGCTTAGGTGCACTGAAAAAGATATTTCCTATGATGTCATTGTGTATAGTTTGAATGACCTTGTCATTGTACATAGATTGGTGTTGTTCTCACACAAAAGACCACTCAGTTGCTTTCTGCGAACTTTATTTTGTGTATTCTTTCCCTTGAACGGACCTACATGCCTTATTCACCCTAAACGGAATCTCAGAACAACAATATTCGTACCTCTTTCAAATCAGCATTCCCATCAGTTTGAATAGTCTCTTTTCTCTGCCATTCCATGAATTTTCCAGGACCCATCCTCTCCCATTGTAAGTCTACTGCAATTTTTTTTGAAAGGCGGACACCACCTACCTGCATTGCAATAACGAATTCTGACGTATTTTCTCTTCAGTACAAATTGATTTTTCTTGGCACTCTGCCAGATACAGATCCCATCAGTTTGGGACAAGCAAAGAACGTCTATGTAAAGAAGGAAAGGCTTCACAGACGTAATGTAAACCAGTTTGTCTTTTACGCCGCTTGAAAGAAGAGGGAAAATTCGCCAAGGAATTTGCCGACGGAAACTGTTGGCGAGAATTTCCCCTTCTGTGATGTACCAGACCTGGCTGACATTTTCCTCCTTCTCCGCGACGTGTACAGGAAATTGAGGACCACGGGTTAATATGAATAAGAAAATTAGGTGAAGTTTCACTTTCACTGGCTGTTGAACTTGCATTATCCATATCGCATTTTGATGTCTGATTTTATATGACATATTCCGTCAATATGAAGGGGAAAAAATGGAGTCACACAGCTTTAAACTCTTGATAAAGGTGACTGTCGAACTTCGACATCATCTTTGATGCTTTGGCGCTTTTTGGCGACAGATGTTTTATGCATGCGCAACTGTTTCCTGCTGTTGCGGAGTTTTCCTTCTTAACAATTCATATTCTTTGGGTACAAGTACTTATTGAATAGTTTTTAAGTAAGAAGGGAGCGGAAAATTTTTAAAAATGGTACCTAAACGGCACAGAAGCTTTACTGCTGGTTTTAAGATTAATGTAATTTCACATGCTGTACGAATTGGAAATACAACAGCAGCTCGAGTGTTTGAAGTGGACGAGAGATGCATTCGACATTGCAGAACTTAAAAATAGGCCACACAGAAAAGAGCCAAAAGAAGTGGTACTGTAAGGTGGCCGAATCTACAGAACGACCTCACAAACTGGATAAAGGAGCAACGAGGAAAGAGAATGGCAATTTCGACTGTAAAAATTCACTTACAAGCAAAATTTATGGCAAAACAAATGAACAGAGATGATTTCAAAGGAGGGCCTTGCTGGTGTAGCAGATTTATGAAAAGAAAAATATTTCTGTACGTACTAGAACAGTCTGGCAACAATTACCAATAAACTGGCAAGATAAAAAGGCATCTTTTCTAAAATATGTGACAGATATTATTGACAAAAAAGAACCATCTTCCATCACAGATAATAAATATGGATGGAACGCTGTTAGCTTTCGACTTTCCTGCAAACAGAGCTGTTGATGAAACTGGTGCAAAAGCTGTATCTGTGCTATGACAAGGCATCAAAGAATGTCATTTACATACGTGTTAGCTTATGCCGCAAACGGTGACAAGCTAAAGCCGATGGTCATTTTTTAAAAGAAAAACTATTCCAAAGGGAGATTTTCCTAATGACGTAATTATTTGTGCAAACGAGAATGGATGGATGTGCGAAACAATCATGCACGAGTGGCTACAAAAAGTTTGGCAGTGTCGTACGGGATCTCTTTTCCAACCAAAAGGGTTATTGAAAATGGATTACATGTGTGCATGTTTACTCGAGTTGGTGAAAACCAGATGTCAAAAATCGTCTATGACCACAGTAATAATTCCTGGTGATTTGACAAAAATCTTACAAACATTAGATTTTTCAGGTAATAAATCCTTCAAAGCTGAAGTCCGAAAGTGGCGGGAGTGTTGCATGAGCGAAGGATTGCATACATATACCATAAGAGGGAAAATGCTTAGAGCATCTTAAGAAGTTGCAAAGTGGGTAGGAAGTGTGTGGAAATGAGTGAAAATATCGTTCAATAATAGCAGCGTTCAAAGAAGCTGAAATTATATACTCAGATAAAGAGACTGTAAACCAAGAGGATGAATGTGACGATCTGGAAGACTTGGATCAAGATTTACTAAATCTTTTTAATTCAGATAGTGAAGAATGAGATTTTGATGGCTTCATTTGATGTACAGTTTGCTGTAATTCCTTTGTAAGTAAAACTTTCTTTTGCCATCCAAATTTAATATCTCGTTGTTGCAACATTTTTTATAATATAGTATGAGTATGACAAACATGGACTTCTTTAGTGGGTAAATATAAGTATATTCATGAACATAAATATATTTTCAACATTTTTTACCTTTAATTTATTTTTGAATTAGAGTTTCATGCCACACATTTCTCTTAACTGATATGTCATATATCAGGACATAAGTCAAGATTTTGCGTCTATACAGACCACGACGATTTAATCTATTGCGGCGTTTCTACGCAATTTTAATTTTTTTCCCACAATTTTTCTCGAATGCGACATTTGCGCTCATGTGGCCTATCTTCCGGAAATTACAAGATGTATATCCATAAGCTTTGTTATTATATTGTAATCAGACCGTGTTGTAATGCTGTATTTGTGAAAATTTTAAATTGTTGAACGTAACCGTGTCAATGGTGGGCGGTACTTTTGTGCCTGCGAGCGCAGCGCCCCCGGTTAGAAAAACTTTACTGGTGATTCAGTCGATGAGAGTAATGTTGGAATAAGGCGAGAGATCTAATAAATGAGTGTGTTTACCTTACTACTGAGTATCTGTTTTATTTTACAGTCCACTGTGAAGGATATTTCCATACTATCTATGAAAATGAGTGTTCAATTGTCCTAAAATAATACTGCCCTGAACATATGATACTTGCTTTCTGCTTCTCCTTAGACGCGTTTCCCCCTTGTCTATCTCTTCATAATTATATTTTAACTATGAAATGGTACCAATTTCATTCTCCAAAACAAGCACTATGATGCCCAATTATTTAAACTGGCTTATTAGAATGCTTAGTCAACTAAAATAAAAAAAGATTACTTAAATCTGCAACACTGCAAGCTTCTTTGATATTGCGCATCTACATCTGCCTTCTGTGTTTCCAAACTATTACATATATACACATACAAGGTACAGAGAAATTTTATGTTTAAGATCCCTACACTAAATGCAGTCGTAGCCACTAATTCCATTACCATTAATTCATTTTTTAGAAATTCAGCCTGTATCAAATTTCTTTTACTTTAATAACACTGCAAAAGACTAATTTTTCTACCATTATTAATACTGCAAAAATGCTGTGTCACGAGAATCAAATAATAATAAAAAGATAGCTAACTTTAAAAACCAAGCTCTATAAACTTTAGGATTAACAAGCAGTTTACTTAAAATACAGTCATGCAGTCTTCAAAATTTTTAAATACGATTGTTAAGTTATAAAGATAAAAGTTGAGGAAAACAGGTACATATGTTTTAAAGAACAATCAATATTAGTTCGAAGAACTTTTATTCAGTATACAAATACAATGAACAAATTTACAAATGAAATTCAAAAATTTATCTTTCAGTATAATGAAATAAATCTTCAGTAAACACAAAGTTCGACATTTTAACCTTCTCATTTATTTGACAATATCAAAAGTTATGGCAGAAAGCTAAACATATATTAAAAGAAATATATGTCTGCTGCATCTCATTAAATCTCATTAATAAAAAATAAAATTTAGAAATGTAAAAAAACTATCTTAAATGTAAAAAACCATCTTAAAATGTATGTAGATATTATAAAGTTGAAAACACATCTCATTTTCTCCCAGTGATGCCAAATATTTGACAACTCAGTGTCAAGAGTCCAAAGCCCGTTTTCAAACAGGTAAAAATCATAATATCACTGTAAGTCATTAAAAACACAAGTAGAGTCATTAGAGTCTCCTGCATCTAAATTTTGATTATCACGTTTAGCATCTAATTCTCCACTTCGAGGTTTAGCATCTAACATTTTATTTTCAGTTTCGGTGTCATTAGCTCGAAACACACAATTTTTAACTGCTCTGGTACCAGATGCAGCCTCGTCCTTCACCTTCCTTTTTTTAATTTTTGTTTGGGCATCTTCCTCATTATTCAACATGGAGCTCCTGGGTCTCTGAAACATAAATGATAAAAATTAATGAATGTAAGTACAATGTCCACCACAATATACAGTCAAAAGTCGTTAATCCGGACTCGTCGGGACTTCGGCGATTCCGGATTATCGATTTTTCCGGATTATAGATCATCAGTTAAATCTGGTAAAATGGCATGCAGAAATTATAAAATTAAAAATATAAAACCGTAATTTACGAAATAAAGAACAATTATGATCTAAAGGGTATCAAAATTTACAAAAAAAAGCTTAATATTTGTTTACTTTATTAAACATTTCTTTCAGTTTAAGTTGATTCGTTTTTTATGTGATAATACATTCTCTTTAATTCTATAAACAGACATAATTTCTTGTTCAGTTACAAAGTTCCGCTGTTCATGTCCTATAATTGCTGTGTCGAGAATACCGACTAATCTGTCAATCGAAATTTTTTCGTTTTCAATAACCTCTGTCACTTTCTTCGCTATCGGAAGCGAATTATAATGACGAGGCATTTGATTTAAATCATATCAAAGATGGAGTACATCGAGATGAAATACTACATTGAGTAAGCAATTATAAACCAAATAAAATAAAAACATCTGCCCTTAAGATAAGGATAGTGAATTCATTGCACGCCCGCCGCTGCGTTAAAGATAAACAAAGTTTAGATAAACAAACGTTAAAGTTTAGATAAACAAGCGTTAAAGTTTAGATAAACAAAATATATGCCTTTATCCATTTTTTTGCAGCAATTCCACTTTTTGTGTAATGGGCTCCGAAAGATACTTTCGCTTTATTAGTAAATATATATCGAAAATTCTATTTGACATAATCGAAAGTTCAAGCTTACTTTTATAAAATTGCTCTAACAGTCTGCAAAAAATAATAAGCCGGAATCCAATTCGAAGATTAAGGAACAACGCAATCTGCAACATTAACTGAAATTAGATAATTAGATAATTTTAGCTTAGCTTATCCCGTCCGTTATACATTAAACGCGCATTCATAAACATATTTTGCGCACGTGCACACGCAAATTCGCAGCGGTAAAGGTCTTACGCGCATGCGTCAACGCGACGCATGCGCAGAAAGGTTGTAGCTCTGAGGTCCGGATTATAGATCATTCCGGATTATGGGTGTCCGAATTAACGACTTTTGACTGTACTAAATATTTACACGAAAAACACTTGCCAAATTTAGCAGACATGATGCAAATTCATAGCTTTAAGATGAATGATTCAAGTGCATTAGATGAAACTCATTGTGGCTATAAAAATAAATATACATATGTCATATGTGAACACTTAATATTTACTCTTTACAAACCTACACATTAAGCATTGCTTGAAGATATATGAAGCTTAAAAACAGATAAGTTTGACTGCATATTACAATTTTTTGAAAGACAGTTATGGTTATGAAATCCATAATGGCTCAGATATGACCACTGGACAATTCTCAACACTAGTGTATTGTTAGCTGAGTTAAAGCATGACAGTTTATTAAAGATGCTATTTTTATTGACGTTCCATACTTTCTCATCTTTGCTTTCTGTAATATGGCTTCAGAAAAAATTTCAGATGAATGAGTCAGTACTTCAGAGACCCTTTCTTGTTTGTCCAATGGTTAGTGCATGCTTTGATAATAAGTATATGGCCACTCTTAAATTTGAGACTAATGACATCAAATCTAAGCATAGTGGTTACAAAAATTATGAAGTCTGTTAGAACTGGGTCAATAAAATAGCGCAGCTTATATAAAGAATGTACTTATTCACAATATGCAAGTTCAGGGAGAATAAAATCTTAGTCTTATGTACATTAAGTATTTAGACTTAAGAACACAATTAAAAAACATAACAACCGTTACATTTTTCTGACACTGCAAAATTCTAAAGTATGAAAACTTATTATTTTATTATCAAGACACATGCACTTTTATATATGTCCTAATTAAACATCGAGTTGCAACATACTTCCAGCTTTGCCGTGACAGGGTATTGTAAAGCAAGGCAAGTAAATACATTTTAATTAATTCAAAACACTTGGAAAATTTTTAAAACTCAAAAAAATTATTTTTGTTAAAACAAAAACACATTCTTAAAATATTTTTCTTTATTGAATTATATGTTTACAATACATGAAATAATAAAAACCTATATATCACCAAACATTTTCAAATACACAATTATTGTACATTACTTATTGCGTCTACAGTAAATTAAATATTAAATCACATCAGCTGCTACAAAATAATAAGCAAAAAACCTAAATAAATTATTTATTAAAAAAGTCTAAATAAATAATTCAAAAGTTCTCATAAATTTAGCCTGTCTGGCTTAAATATTTGTCAACAACTTCTTGTGACCACACTCGGGTTGGAATGTAAATCAGTTTCCTTCTGAATTATTGCCTCTTTGCTTTTGACAACTAATAGGATTCAATCGCTGGAGTGGCCAAAATAATTCTCTAGGACCTACACATAAGTTTAGCCATATGTTGTTTTCCATCTCTCCCATTAACTCTTTGAAATCCAGACCCTTCGCTAACTTGTATCCTTAAAATACCGAACCGCCCGAAATAGTTTTCCAGTTTCACAGCAATTTCCTCCCCTCCCCACCCATTAACGCAGAAAATAGGTGTGAAGATTTCCAGTGACATCCTTTGCACTTTTTAACAAAGAATTCCATAAGCCTTTGACCCCGTTCTTTTTCTAAAACTATTCTGAAGGTCAGATCAACAAGCCTTTCTGACTTTGTTATGATCACGGAATGAGATTTTGTTTATTTCCGTTATTTTTATAGGAAGGAATAAATTGATTAAAAATAAATATAGTCCTTAAACTTTTTTAAATTGTATTTTTATTGCTGTTTAAAGCTTAAAAGCACACTGTCCCACAAAAGAATCAACAACGAAATGTCAAGATCAACCAGAAGATAAGAAACCTCTTAGAACAAGCTGTCTGCAGTAAACTGATACAATGCATTTGGGGAAACTGCACCTGCTACTGCATATTTTAGGGGTAGGGAAGAAAACAAGATTACAATCTCGGCCGTTTTCAGGCGGTTCTGGTTGTTTCAATGTAGGGCCGTGTGGGGCGGATTGGATGTGAAGGAGTTAAGGGAGTTCAGTCGCTATGAGGAAGTTAAGGGAAGTTAAGGGTCGCTATGAAGGAGTTAAGGGAGCCAAAGGCCAATTAATCCTTTTAATGTTATTGGAACCTACTAGAACTACATCTCCCTTTGCATTTCTCTAACATCTCATTATCCAAGCAGTCATTTTCAGAATTTCAAACTACTCCGAGAAATATAAAAATCGATCACTTGCATTCTCATTTAGTATGATATTTGTTGCATTTATTACAAACTTTTTCTTCTGCAAAGCTTCCTTGGGACTAATTATTTTTCCTTTAGGCCAACATACTTTTGGCTCCTTAAACCAAGATTCTTGTCCAGGTACAAAAATGAGATGGCAAATCTGCCAGGCTGACAAAGCTATTCCACGATTCATTGTTTGTTATGCAAGTCAGCACTACCAAATGATCAGTCCAAAAATATGTCTTGAATGGCGACTTTAATGCATCTTTTTGGGATGGTAGGCTTCTTTATCAGTGTTACTCTGGATGTAGCAGCAGCTAAATTTATTGATGATTCTATTTTGATCTTCATAGTGTAAAAATGTATAAAAGCAAAGGTATTCTGGGAGGCATGACAAAACAAATGTAAACTAGCACTTTCAATAGTTCCATAATGCATTCTTCTATGCATTGAGCACTCATTCATGGGCATGCTAATCCAATGGGATCACAGATGCTATTAATTATTGATAGTAACTTTCCTCTGTTGTAGGTCCCCCTAAAAACTCCAGTTCCTTTGGAAATTCACATTAAAATTTATCCTTCAGAGCGTTTGATTTCAGATCAAGTATAGTTGGGTCCACCAACAGTATAAATTGAATCCTCCCATTTTCATTATTTCCTTTGCTTAATCTGGCAATAATTGAAGCTCATTTTCATCTCCAACACTTGTGAATAAGTTATCAATGTGGAACTTTTCTTTTAAGACTTCAACAATGGACAGCAAGTCTTCTCTTTTAAACATTTCAAAATTTAAGTAAAATGAAATGTAAGAAAGGGCTTGAAGAGAAGCAAAAAATTACTCAACAATGTCTATACACTTTCATTGCTGCACAATTAACATCTTCCTACCACAAAAACTGGAGCACATCTGTCTTCTTGTTTGATGCCAATCAGTAAAAAAGCCTGTTTAATATCAGCACTCACTCCAATCTTTCCAATTCTAAACCCATGTAATAAGTGTGGAGACTTGTCCAGTATGCAGAATATCATAGGGCCACACAGTCATATGGCTGGCTTTGAAGACGCGTCAAAATCATGAGGATTTTGGTTGTAGCACTCAACATTTTGATTATTGGAACATGTGGCAAGTAAAATATCGATTGATAAGTATTAACCTCCTTTACTTCTTCAATTACACCCTTTCACTGCCATTGTAAAAATACACAATGATAGGATTCTAAAATATTGTCTCTTTTTAACCAATTACAAATGGTACATAATCTTGCCTTAGTGGTATCAAAATTATTATACAAAGGTGGGTGTCTAATAAGCCAGGGTAATGCCACTTCATACCACTGACCTGAATTAAAGGTTATTGTTTCTTAGAAATGACACAAAGTTTCTTCATCAAAACTTTCTTGGTTCAGACTTCGGTCAGATTGGATACTGTTAAAGACTCCAGATCCCACATTTTTTGCACTTCTACATTCCATATTTGATAAATTTAAGGCTAACATTTTCCTGTTGATTTCTTTATGTTGTCTGCCTAGGACACACCATCTAAATTTTGTCTCTATAGCAGAAATTCCTCATTTCAAAGTATTTAATTGCCTAGTGAGTATTTTTCCAATTGCACCAGCTTCAAGCAACATCTTAATAGGTGGCTCACCTGGTTCAATGTCAGATAGTTATTCCTTCTGTTGCAAGTTCTTCAATCAGTT